TGGACAAACGCTGGCTCTCTACGGCTTGGAAATGGGGATGACCACTGCCCCCTAGAGTTGGACACGACTGGACTTAATGTCAAAGGGAACCTTTATCTTACCTTTAACTTTTGACGTAGTACTTTTCTGTATATAAACTGAAACTCATTTTACTCTCACAACAATCCTTGCAGTAGATTAAACTGAAATAACAACTTGCCAGCAGTTGATAGGTCATGATTATGAGGTCACAACTGATTTTCTCAGCCATGAGGGCATCACCTGCTAAAACATTTCCTCATACCAACACTGGCCCACAGCTGTAGAGCTGGAGTGGGGGAAACATATGAGTCTGTTGTAGGACTGCAACTCCCATCAGGCTTTCCCAGGACAGTCAGTGGGGATGGATTATGGCAGCTATAGTCCAACAACGGCTTGGGCCCTGGATACCTGAAGGACCTCCTCCTTCCATATGAGCCTACCTGGCAGTTAAGATCTAGCCAGGGGGCCCTTTTGAAAGAGCCGTCCCTCAAGGAGGTAAGAGGGATGGCTTGTAGACAAAGGGCCTTTTCAGCAGCTGCCCCCAGACTATGGAATGCCCTCCCGACTGAAATTCGTCTGGCTCTGACTTTGATGACATTTCGGCGCCAGGTCAAAACCTTCCTGTTCCAGAAGGCTTTTAATTGAAATAACATCAACTGTGGGTCCTGATGGCAATTTTAATTGTATTTTAATCATTTTATTTTTTATTGAATTTAATTGAATTTTAATTGTTGTAAGCCGCCCAGAGACCTTTGGGTAAAGTGGGCGGCATATAAGTTAAATAAATAAATAATAAAATAAACAAAATAAACATTGGAAAGAGCACTTACTCCCTATCCCTGTGACAGGCTAGACCTACTGCTACCTTTTCTCCTTGTCACGCTAAACCTGCTTTTCCTTGCCTCTGATTGGCTCTGCTTCCCAGTAGTTTGGTAGGCAAAAAGGTCTGAGTTGCTGAGTCTCTCCTTCTTTAGGCCCCCTACTTAAAAATCGAGTAAAGATAAAGAACTTGTTATGGGAAGGTGGCTGTATTAAAAGTATGCAGGAGAGAGGGGCATTGTGTTTCCCCCCCAAAAGTGCCAGTCAAAAATGTCTTTAAAAAGTGGCTCCCAATGTTTGGTCCCCAGATATTCTTAGACTAAAACTCCCAGAAGCCTTCACCACTAGCTGTGTTTGGCCAGGATTTGTGGGAGTTGTAGTCCAAGAACATCTGGGGACCCAAGGTTGAGAACTACTGGTCTATAAACACTTACTGTCCCTTGGTTACCTATTTCAAAGCCATTTGTTTAAGGGGCTATGTAGACATTGCCACATGATGTGAGAGTGAAAATACACTACTGAGAGAGTATCCTGAAAAGGGTCACTATAAATCCGAACTGACTTGACAGCACATGGTGAACCATCCTTATCTCCATATTGTGGGCAGCCTTAGGTTTGAGAGACTGACTATAGTACTGAAAACAGTTTCTAGGGGTAAGTCCTTGCTTAACTTAAGTCCTGGCAGTGGCTCAGTTGCTGCTCCATTCAAGCTGCTCCCTGATCTCATCCATCGCATAAGTTGTGTCATTAATTAGCTGTGCCATCCCTGGCATGTGAGTAGCTGCCAGCAAGCAGGTGCAGTGCTGGCCAGACAAGATGCAACAGCCAGAGTAGTAAACCAACCAGCTGTAGCAATAAGAAGTAAGGCGGGAGCCAGTCCTGTCTAAACAGATATGCAAAGTGACATCAGAGCTTGGATAGTTAACAGTTAAAAAGTAGTTTGTTCCCTTTACTCAGTATGTATATTGATTAAAGAGTTGACTCGTCATTATTACTCATTATGCTAAAATACAAGTAGATACATAGCTCATTATTCTCCAGCACTCTTTTTAAAATGTTCAAACTGGTAAGAGTACAGTGTGACACTTGAAAAATTCCCGTCAAACTACTTCTAAAAGTGCCTTTGAAGGTATCTTAAAGTAACTTTATAAACTAATTGACTCTAGTGGGACTAACAAACTAAGTTGAAATATAACTTCATTATACCCTCCCTCTAAAAAAATGAGACACACAACCTGTTACATATATGTCTGTTAGTTGTGACTCATTACTTCTGGAGAATGTCATGTCCCATAACAAAATTCAGACCGAGTGGTACGATCCAGATGGAAGATTTTTTTCCTCTGCAGTGTAAATGAAAGAAGAGCTTCCACACTGTTGTGAGCTGGCCTTGCAGTGCCACCTGCTGGAAAGACCCTGGTGTAGAGCAGTTAATATCTAAAAACAAGGAAGCACAGAGGAGAGGTTAAGTTGTTCACCATCTAATTAAAAACTCGAAGGGAGCTGTGTGGTCATTATATTACAATATAACTTGTGGGCAATGCATCTGAATTATAAATGAATATTCCAAATATTTGTCCCTGGAAATTTCTAGAGATGGATAGAGTTGTGCTACTCGCTGTCAGGTCAGATTTAAGTCACACTGGTGACTCGACTCAGTTTCTGTTCGTCAACAACTTGGACTCGGAACCCACCCACCCCTTCTCTCTTTGGGGGTTGGGTGGGTGGTTTTGCTTGTTTTAAACAGGAAATTGGACTTGAGCCTTGGAACTCAGGACTAGTTTCCAAAGACTCAGACTTGGGACTCAGACCCAAAAACTTACCAAGATCCCCGGAAATTTCCAACCACATGATACTAGCGGTGAAGCATTAAACCACACACACACACACACCCAAAGCTTGCCTGTAAGCAGCTTTAAACTTACCTTAAGAGGAGACTTCTACCAAGAATTTTTGGGAGATTCATTTATCAATCATATGCCTACAAATTACTGGTGCCTGCCTGAAGGGTTTTTTAATCCACAAAAGCTTGCATTAATTGGTTGATTTTTTTTGGTGGTCTAATAAAAGCTTTCACAATCTTCTACATTTGTACTCCATCCAGTACTTTCTGATCTGGAAGCTTGTAATTTCACTTAATGTTTTTTTTCTAAATAGAAGCTGTAAAAGTATACTTCAACCTAGAAAAACCCCTGATGTCCGCTTTTTCTTGTTGTTTCCAGGGACCACAATGGCTCTGAAGATGATGTCCAAGAAGCGGATGGAAAGGCGGGAGTTCCTGAGAGAATATTGTATCTCTCTTTGCCTCTCATCTCACCATGCCCTCATCCGAACTATCAGCAGTGCATTTGAGACACCTACACACTACGGCTTTGTACAGGAGCTGGCACCAGCTGGGGATCTCTGTGCTATCCTGAGCTCAGGGGTATGGAGTGGAGATAAGGGATATTGTGAGGACCATGAACTTTGAAAAAATATTGCAACAAAGTGGTGTGGTAGTGGGATTTCCTCTGAACATGTGCAGGATGTTGGCAATTTTAATTAGAAATTAGACATGGACACAAACCAAACAATGAATTAGAAAAACCAACATACCGGGCTGGTTTGCGGTTTGGTTCATCACCCAGTTCAGGAATCTTGTTTCACTCAAGGAAAATGAAATGAGAACATTTTTTCCCCTCGGTGCTTCATTTTGTTCAGCAAAAGGAGATGCCTGTCTGTCCCCTTCCTCCTGCCTCTGTTGCCTCCCTACCTGTTCTTGCTGCCACAATGCAGGGAGGGCTTTTCAAAAGTGGCTCTGCTACTCTGTAATGGAGCTTGGTGGACCTGTTCAATAGACCATACTTTTCTTTAACTTCCTTTCCTCTCTTTCAACAGGAGGGCCTCCCTGAGGTGCAGGTGAAGAGGTGTGCAGCCCAGTTGGCCGAGGCTCTGGATTTCATGCATGGCAAGGCCTTGGTGCATCGAGACATAAAGCTGGACAATGTTCTTCTTTTTGACAAAGAGTGTCATCGGGTGAAGTTGAGTGACTTTGGTTTGACACGACTGGAAGGCACAAAAGTAGGTGCCATGTCTGGGACCCTGCCCTATTCCCCACCTGAACTGTGCCTATTGGAGAACAGTGAGACTCTAGCTCTGGATTCTAGCCTGGATATCTGGGCTTTTGGGGTGCTGCTGTTCTGCCTTTGCACTGGTTGCTTCCCTTGGGATGTGGCAATGAGCCCTGACCCTGAGTTTGAGGAATTTGGCATCTGGCAGAACCGCACAGTGCCAGGGGAGGCTCCAGGCCTGTGGAAAGGTTTCACTACACACGTCTTGGACATGTTCCGCCGCCTAATGGCTCTTGATCCCAATCGCCGCAGTCCTGCTATTGATGTGCACAAATACTTACATCTGCCTTGGCAGGTAGTCAGATGTGGAGACACGCAGAGTCCCCAGAGTGAGTGTCCAACGGTCACAGATTCTGATGTCTTGCTCAGTGGCCTTAAGGGAGATAATAAAAACTTGGGGAAGAGCTCCAAGGACACTTGCCTTGGGCAAATACAACCGGAACCGATAGCCTTGGAAAAAACTCACACCATACAGATGGCTCCCAGCACTGGAAGCAATCCCAGTCCACTGGAAGGCTCACGGCTAAGTGAGCCTGGGCTCCAGCCTTGAAGGAGTCTTGATTGAGAAAATCATCTTCATCTATGAACAGAGAAAACCATCCTCTTCCATGAAAAGATTAAAGGGAGTTGAAAGGTCCAAGTTAAAGAGAAGACACTAGCATGGCTACTTAAGAGGGAGCTTTCAGATAATTATGTAGTATCCTCTTCTCAATCTCACTGTTGGTCTGGCAAAGAAGAATTAATCACTCAGTATAGAGAGAAAAGTCTCATTTATGACCACAGAGTTGGTCAGTCAATAACAAAGCAATATGATGACTTGCCTTTCAGTAACGCAGCAGAAATGTCTCCAGGGATAGCAAAGGTTGCTTCTGTTTTTTTTTTTTTACTGGATAAAATCATTGCAACCCCCAATTATCTGTGTCATCCTCCCATTTTTCCCTGACCAAAACTTGATTATAGGGGCTTTAAGGACACAAAAATCCAATTACAGCACCAACCTGACCACCACATATTAACACTCCTCTGGAATCTTGTTCATTCAAGCAAATATTTCCTGTTTGCAAACCTTGTTTGATTAATTAGTTCCTAGTTGTGAGGTTAATGATGAGTAGCCTGTTAGTTGCCACTTGAATAGCAGAATATTTTTGATTTCAAAGTATCAGCTTCTGTTTCTGTCAGGGGTAGAGATGGACATGAATCATTGGTTTGTTTTTTGTCCAAACAAGTGTTTGACATTTTCCAGCCCTGCCTCCTCTGGTTGGTGTGCACTCAGAGGCAGCATCCTGTTTAGCGCTGCCTCTGTCTGGAGCTGGGAAGCACCAGAAAACCCTTCGCGTGGAAGAAAAAAAACAACACAAACCACTGAACTGGTGGTTCGTGCCCATCTCTATTCAGAATTAATAATTATTGATTTTTGTTAATTTTATTTGCCAAATATTTTAACTACTGTATTTTAAAGAAAGGAAAGTATAAAAAAGAAAATAAAAGAGTGAAAGGAAACGTATTTTCCTCTCTAAAGATTCCCCTCTTAATTTTTTTTCCCTCCCAAATGAGCAATTCAGGGAAGCAATGATGGAGCAGGCAATAGATGGATTGTCACGAATCCTTCAGATATACCGTAGTTATGAAAAAGCAATAAAAAAGGCACAACTTATGAGCAATACTGTAAATTTGTAATCAAACTTTAATTGAATCTTTGCTTGATTGGACTTAGCTATGAGTAAACATAACACAACGATCTTGGCCATGGGAGAAGATTAATGGTGGATAATATAGCATTATTAATGTGCAATGTGGAACTTCAGTTTGAATTCTGCTTTCCACTAGTTGCAGAAAAGCAATCGGTGCTGCCAAAGGGCTTTAATACAGTTGCTGTAAAAACACATATTTTGTGTATGTTGCTGGAACAGTCTAGCTAAGGGCATAAGGAGAAGATAGGTATATGTATTTGTAAAAATGCTCCATGTAGAAAAATACTGATTTTTAAGAAAATAATGTATGCACAGAAAATTGTATATATATAAATACAGTATATTAATGTTATTGTATTGTTGGTGGAATTTCTATAATAAATTGTTAACAACAAATGTTTTTGCCATGGTGGCTAAATTTCTTGAGGCTCCAGAATAATTAGGATAATTATCTAGGGGGAAGAACACAATCCCACTATCTTGTTGCTGTAGACCAAATAATGGTTTGTGTACATGTGTGTAGTTCAAATTAAGTTTTGACTAAAGTCACACCATAAACCCCTAGTCTTGAATGTAACATGGAAGTAAACTGGAACATAATACACTAATGGATCCAGCTATGAACACGAAGCTCATCATATGGACTTGCATAGCCTGCAATACCATCTTTAGCCGTTAGGTGCCAAACATTTCCTAATAAAGAGATACAAAGCTGGAAGCAAGCCTGTGAACTTAATTTATCCATGGTCTCCAGGTACTTCTGTGTGCTGTTTTCCTCTGCCATCTGAAACTCTTCAAATAGTTCAGAGAGAGAGAGACAAAGAAATAGAAATGGAGATAAAAATTCCTGTTGACTGGTAAAGGGAGGAGAATGAAAGCTGAAGCAGCAAAAGGGTATAGGAAGAGGAAAATGTGAAGGAAAAAGGAATGGAAAGGAGAAAGTCAGAAAAGGAAGAGCAAGAGCACAAGGGTGGTTAGGGATTAAGGAATGTTAACCCATGTAAAGATGACACTTTTACCTTTGAAAACAAGCCTTAGTGTTCCTTGTCTTGATTCAGCGCTCTGGTTCACGGCAGGAAAAGGTAAAAGCAAAGCAGTATCCTCTTATTCAAGGGTGTGAGAAAAATGAATTGATTATCTGTAACCTTCCAGTGCTCACTGAAAGGACGGATCCTGAAGCTGAAGCTCCAAGACTTCAGCCATTTCATGAGAAGAGAAGACTCCCTGGAAAAGACCCTGATGTTGGGAAAGTGTGAGGGCAAGAGGAGAAGGGGACGAAGGAGGACGAGATGGGTCGAGAGTGTCATCGAAGCTACCAACATGAATTTGACCCAGCTCTGGGAGGCAATGGGAGACAGGAGGGCATGGCGTGCTCTGGTCCACGGGGTCACGAAGAGTCGGACATAACTAAATGACTTAACAACAACAACAACAAACCTTACTAGAAAAAAAGAAAAAGGAATTATAAAGAGGAAGAGAAAAAGGCACTGGTGAAGTCCATGGTCTTCTTTTAGCTAGATTTGGCGATTGTTAAGTCAGAAAGGTCAAAACAGTCAGAACAAGATAAGGAGTAGGTTGTGGTACCAATCATGAACTGAAAAAAGAAAAACCTAGATATATGGTGGAAGAAACATTTAAAAATGCAGAGGACAGACAAGAAACTAAAAGGTGACAGAAACAGGGTCAGAACCCTAAAAGGTTTTCAGTGATTGACATATAGAGACAGAGAGAACAAATACAACAACTAGTGCAAAGAAGTAGAGAAGAGCAACAAAGGGAAGAAATGGGATCTCTTCCAGAAGATCCAAGAACTCAAAGGGAAATTTAAGCCTAGGCTAGGAATGCTGAAGGACCAACAGTGATAAGCACTCTATCTAATCTGGAAAAAATCAAGAGAAGGTGGAAACAATAACCTATACAAAAGAGATAAAAGAATGAACTATCACTGGATGCAAAAATGTTGAAACTGGGGCTGTCTACTTCAGGTACATCATGAGAAGGCAGAAGACCCTTGAAAAGACAATAATGCTGGCAAGGGTGGACGGCAGCAGGAAAAGAGTAAGACCAAGTATCACAGGGACTAAAGGAAGCCACTGACAAGTTTATAAAAACTGAGCAGGGCTGCTGAAGACACATTTTGGAGAATGCTCATTCATAGGGTCTCCATGAGTCAGAGATGAGTCAGAGATAACTTGACGGCACATAACAACAAGAAATTAGAAAGGGAGGTTTGGTTAGGTGTGGTCCAAGATGCAGGGTTCTTCTCCTAAGATCACCATTTTTTTCTTCTCACTTCTTCTCCTATGCCTTTAACACAACTGGAAGCTTGCCTTTTAATTTGCAAGCGTCCTTTGTGTCTTACTGCATGCAGGATCAGAAGTGGGTCTTGTGATATCTGGCACCTAACCTAGAACAGATGGGCTTCCATTCCTGAAGCTCTGTTTGCACAGCAGGGGTTTTGCTGCAGGTAAGGCTGTTGTGAACAATGTTATAGACTATCTCTACAGCAGCTGGAAGGCCATGTGCGTGATCAGCTGGCATTCCCTGCACAACCACTGGTGTTCTCTAGAGATAAGCCTGGTCACAGACTCTTAACTGAGAGACAAAACATGTTGAACCTTGTGTTTCTGGAACACATATCAAGGTACCGGCTTTCAACTCACCACCGACTAGCCAAAGCTGGTGAAGAGGAAGACCTGCTTAGATTGGCCTGTGAAGCCAGCTGCCCAGCCTGCCTTTTGGGATGAGCTGAGGAATAGTCTTAGTAAAAAGTGATAGTGCAGAAGAGGAGATTTAGGGCTTCTGTCTTTTAAGACCTGGCTAAACAGTACATCCCCTGCATGTTTATATACTCTTACCTTATCTTTGTTATAATAGCTGACATTAGATGATGCAGCTGGGGCCAGAAAGGGGTGACTAAGATTGCCATGTGTGGGGATGTGCCCATGAGTGTGTGTCTTTTAAAGGTTGTTCTTGATGGAATTTGAGTATCAGCACTTGTGACAAGTGACCTGGATGAGTAGGGTGTGATAGATAAGACAGCCAAATCTCATCTCTCTCTCTCCTTTCCTGGCTTTCTAAAGATTGCTAGTTATATAGATTTATATAGATTGCTAGTTTTGGACTCTACATCCTTCCTGCTTCTTCCTTATGAGACTGCCTGTATTTCTTTATTAGAAGGAAGCAGCTATCTATCTATCTATCTATCTATCTATCTATCTATCTATCTATCTATCTATCTATCTATCTATCTATCTATCTATCTATCTATCTATCTATCTATCTCTATCTCTATCTCT